TATTTTAAAAATTATCAGTTTTCCTATTATCATAAATTTCTGATTTGCGTCAATTAATGTTTTTCCGTTGCCAAATTCATATTCCCGAATATTTTCAAATTATTCGAATTCAATTATTCTTTTTTTATAATTTATTACTAATTGTTGTTCTTAAATGTGTTCCAAGTATTGTAGTTTATGGGCGAACAGCTGCAGTTTTCGCGTTGAGGGCCAAATTTATGGATTATTGTTTGTTGTTACTTCCCTTTCACACGAGTGTGTGTATGTGTTTTTTTTTTTAAATATATAATGTTTCCATTTTGTTTTATTATTTTAGCTAATGTTTTTATTTATAGCCTGAGCAGGATAAATAGACATTTTCTACTCAGAATGAAACTTTGGAGACTCCATAATATTTATTTATCAGCGTGACGAGCGGAGTTGATTTAGCCATGTCCGTCTGTCCGTTTATCCGCTTGCCTGTATATTCGCACAGTTTTTGAGATGTCGATATTTATATATTATATACAACCGAAGTTGAGGTTTGTTTTTGTTTATTTGAATTTAGACTTTCCTGCTTTCCGCAACTTTAACAAATTTCGCTTTTAGTTTTATCAAACATCATACGAGTACATGAATCATAATAAAAGAAAAATAATCGAAATATTTGGAAATATGTAAAGTGGAGTAATAGTTTGGGTGCAGATTTACTTATAAATTTCTGATTACTGTTATGTATGTATGTATCTATATCTTGGCTTGGTGTTGGCATTCATATAAGATAAGATAACGGTATATTGTGGGTACCATACATGGTTATACAAGTATTTACTAGTAAATATCTACAGTAGTTGTCGAAGTATATGATTTTTTTTAACTCCCCTAATCGTTAAGTTCCTGAGTGCGTATTTTGTGCTGTTATACACACACGCGTGCATAACTGCTGTACATATTTATTGTTTTGCATTTGTTTTTGCCAGGGTGTGTATATTTGCTAGATAAAGAGTTCAGTTTAGCACCGTTGTGTGATCGATTGTGGACTTTAATACGAATGAGAAATAAATTGTTAACGATAAGTGCAAACTGTGGGCAATTGTGCTTGGAAAATATGTTGTTATACGTATGTATCTGACAATAAGCAAATATGCTGCAAAAATATTTATATAAATACATACATATATAAAAAAAATCATAAACTAAAAAAAATTGAAACTTGAAAATAGGACGCCACAAAAAATGAGAATGGTTTTTATAAAAACTTGTTATAAAAAAGTTAAAAATATATTAAAATTTAAGATACTAAAAATATTTTTTTACTAAAGCACTGTCTCTTATACACATCTTTAAAAAAAATAATTTAAAAAAATTTGAAGTTTAAATAAATCAAGTGCATTGAATGTACTTGCAACATGTCACAGTTTTAACGAGACGGAGATGAGAACAGCATTAGATCTTTTTTAATAAAAGTAAATTAATATGAATTTACAAATAAAAATTATAAAACAAGAA